AAAAATATTCAAAATGTTATCATTCTATTATTTTAGATTAGCAGCATTAGATGTCTGACTCTCACTACCTTATATTATAAACCCATTTCCAAAAGTACCTAATTCTTACACAAGCGTCTTCCCGAAGTATGGGCAAATAGGCCACCACGCGTACACTCGCGGTCCTGTCTGGATTAATGGGTATTAACAATTACATTGTGCAGACGAGACCAACAGCTTAACGAACCATTTGAAACAAGAAGCTAGATGACTATCGTATTTGACAAATAGGGATATAGACAACTTTTTTTACATTTGTATATTATAGATATACATTAAATATGTCTATAATTAAAATCTACAAATAAATTCGATTTTCAAAATTTCCTGCTATAACACCACTTCTGTTATGGCGTCGCTGTGACGTCACGGTACTCTGAAACGAATATCGTTTTATGTATGATATGAGTAAGAAGGGGGTGACGTCACGCGCTGTTTGCGGTCTAGTGACATAAAATATTGGTTTTTCATAATGAGTTTAAGCAATATTATAAATATAATAAACATGAACATGAGTAGCTCGGTGGCATAGTGGATTAGCGCCGCGGCCCGCGATAGTAGTCGTTAAGCAACTTTCGCAAGGGTCGGTCACGGGATGGGTGACCAAAAAATTCTTATCTCGAGCTACTCCGTGCTTCGGAAGGCACGTTAAGCCGTTGGTCCCGGCTGGATTTGCAGTCGTTAATACCCTCCAATCCGCATTGGGCCAGCGTGGAGGGTCATGGCCCATCCTCCTTAACCATCCATAAGGAAGGCCTGAGTCCCTGCAGTGGGAACGTAATCGGGCTGATGATGATGATGATGATGAATAAACATGAAAGTGTGATCGGTAATAGTAGGTATATTAAACACTAACAGAAAAAAATGTATGTGCACTTTAGTTTACTGTCTACACCCGTATTCTTAAATTAGTTGTGAATGGTGTTCATTATTTTTATAGCTTTCTTAAATCAACTATAGTATGATGAGCGCAATATTTATCAAATATAATAATTAGAACAATTGATATCAAATTAGAACTCTGAATTATGAAAATACTTCCTTTAGCAATGAATGTAACAGTACCTGAAAAAAAATTGTTTTTGGAGTAGAAACTAAGATAAAACGTCAAAAAGTCAACTGTAATGGTGTACGTGATTAATGACTTAAGTAATATTCACAGCGCTGTGAAGATCAGTGCCATGGATTTTTGCTGATCTATAATTCAACTTACAATTCATGATGAGTAAATAATGAGACTGAATTCGAAGCAGTTATCTAAAACCGTTTAGGCTGTTGCAGTTTTATTTACAAGCATGAATGTCTCTAGATGTTGGCCTCGTTATTTAGTTGTTCTGATTACATAAAAATATACTTGGGATGCACTAAAAGGGAAAACGGGATTTTTTGGCGACTAACCTTCATGGATATAAATTTTTAAATTATATTTTTTAACAAAGCTTCTCTATACTTTTTTTATACTCATAAAACCGTCTTGTAGTACGGTATTTAATATCCTTAATGGTCAATAATTAATTTATTGTTTCTCAAAATATTCTCGTTTGCCTCAAAGCACTTTTTCATTCGATTGAACCAATTTTAAAAACATTTGTGTCACTGATCCGTAGTGATGGTCATCAGATACATGTTTTCACAGTCGTCGACAGCCTCTCCTGACGATGAAACTTGATTGCGTTTTGGTTCTTGATTTTGGGTACATAAAAAACTCACACGGTGACAGGCTGGGACTGCATGATGGATGAATCATTGTCCTGTCTGGTTATCGTGGTGCAAGATGATACGGTATGTTTACCGTTAACACGGAGTTTGTCATCAGATGGTCGTGTATCAGACACTATTCACGGCACGGCGATTTTCTAAAGCAACAGTAGCCACGTGTTTATTGAAAAAACCGGCGAAGTGTGAGTCGGACTCGCGCACGAAGGGTTCTGTACCGAAAACGAGCAAAAAACTAACGTTTGTGTGTGTGAGCACCTTAAATATTTATTTAATTCTATTTTTACCATTTGTTGCTATAGCGGCAACAGAAATAAAAATTATCTGTGAAAACCTCAACTGTCTATTGATCACAATTCATGAGATGACAGCAAAAAAATCACGTGTGTTGTATGGAAGCCCCCTTAAATATTTATTTTATTCTGGTGTTTAAATACATCATCTGAGAAAATTGAACTATCTAACTTTCACGGTCCATGAGATACAGCTTGGTGACAGACGAACAGACAGTGTTCTCGTTTTACCCCTTGGGTAGGGAACTCTAAAATCGAAGCAATTATCGACGCTCGAAAGCAAACACGTAGTAACCGACACATCGTAAAAAAATTTTTTCTTACATCGTACCTAGTTGTTCAGAAAAATTGCTCTTTTAGTAATCGCTATTCGGGCTATGTTATCTACATGATCTGGAGTCATGCGTTAAATAGATATTAAAAACTATAAGCGTGTTCTATATGAGTACAGTTTCGGATAATTTACATTCTGGACACAATAAATCACTAACTAGGAAGTCAGGCTCGGCAGAACTCCGGATTAAACAAAAACGTAATCTTCTTTGAAGCTTACTGCCAAGTGGACTAGTTTGGGAGGCATCTTAAAAAGAAGAAGAAGACGGGATTTCAATAAATATAATTTGAAAACAATTGACAATCAGCTAAACAAACTGTATTCTACGATTAAAGAGTTCCATATCTTTTTTATTTAATAACTTGTTAAATGTTTATTACGTAAGTGGCCTATTCCAGAAACTAGGGTTTTAAGAAGAGAAAAAATGAAATATAGTTAGTACAAATAGGATTATTCTTTTCCATGCAAATTGGACGTTATTTTGTAATAAAAGACAGACAAATAAAATGATAATTTATTTTTCTATTTATAAGAACATGTGTCCACTAAACAATAGACTCACAACTTTATCGAGATAACATCACATTTTAAATTACAGTTTGCTTACGCAACAATCTTTTCGTACAAACATAACAAGAGGTACTGCTTTAAATACACCATGTAATGTGTGTCTTTATATCTTAACTAATACATTACCTTATCTTGATATAATTTTTTGAAGTTTGGGTATCTATGTATAAAAAGCAGAAGGTAAAATCTCAAAGCACGGCACGTTAAATAGTATAACATTTTGTACATCTATGTAGGTAAATAGGTAAAATAATGCCTAATAACTATATGTTTGGAATGATACAAGTAATTACGATCGTATTGTATCCATAAATATAAGAAAATATAACTATATATTCATTATTGCTATACATAAAAAAACAATAAGAAGAATAATAAGTTTTAATTGTAACCGAAATCTGTGTATAAATGTATTGTTATTAAGATCGACATATATCGACAGAAATAAATGCTATTATTATACAAATGTCAATAGCAATAACCTTTTATAAAGACTAGATTGTGTACTTTTATAATTGTGTCCCTATAATTTTTCAGAAAAAAGCTATGTTAGAATATTAAACTTAAAAGCGCAACGACATTTTTCTGAAAAACAAATGTCGGCGACTCGGTGAATATTGGTCGCGGAACGGTGCGCAACGGACAAATTGTACGATTTTAACTCGACGGAAAAGTCGTTTGACGAATCTGTCCTTAGATCGTCCAACTAGACAGACTTTCGACAGATGCTGAACATTATAATGTTATTTATAGAAATTCTCGTATCAAAATAGCATATTAGTACCTATAACTGCAAACGCGCTTGACCACTATCCTCGTTTTCGTTAAGGTCTGCAATAGTTTATTTGGAAGAAAAATCCTCGTTTGGTAAGAAAAAATAAGCTACAACTCTAACAATAGCTACAGAAAACATTTATTGGTCTTATCAATGACAGTGTTTATAATCTTTTACAATATCCCTGTTTAAATATTTACGTATTTATTCAATGGTTTTGATTCTTGTAGTTTTTTTTAATTAAATTGAGTTTTACTGAATTGAAATTACGGTTGAATTTAAACAATTTCGGAAACTAAAATATAACAAAATGTTTGATAAACTATACAAATAATTAACAACTTATCATGTAAGAAGATTATTAACATATTCATTGAAAAAATAATATATTTATTAAGCTATAGCTAGAGTCATAGTTAAGAGAAGCCCCCGCGGTAACTGCGACACTTATACATAGTTGTATTATGACAATTCACTATATGTAGGCACTATATAATTATACAATGCTATATATATATATAAAATCGGTGCCATATACTTAGTACCTGGCGCTGGTGAATTTAAGCATTTTCATTAAGAATATTTTCCAGTATACCATTTTAAATGCAAATTTATCAAATACAATAATTATTTCTGTGCTTATAGGTATACATTTTCACGTTCATATATTTTAGTTATTCCATTTTTAAATTAATTATAATTCCGTGTATTTAAAAGGTATGTCAACTATAATCAATGATATAAATGACTGGTCGTCATTTTCCGTCGTATAATCACTATAAGAATTATGTAAACAGTTATTTGCATAATTTATTTCATTACACATTTCTAATGTTAAACACACATTACTTATTGTTTACAAGATTTATTAAATAATTGTGGTCCCATTTAATGGATTCTTTATTTTAAACCATAAATTAATTATCACTAGAATCTCGTATCGTCTGCTTTCTATAGAAATTAACATTATCTCTATATTTTTTGGTCAATTAAATTTGGCTTTTTCGGAAATATCTACTAACTTTTGCTTCGACTTTCCTACATTAACAATTGGTAAAAATGCGTAAAGAAGCGTATAAGAAAACTATTTTCATTTCAATGGATGTTTATGAAGAATAAAACATGTTTTTATTTTCTGCGTGTATGTTGCCAAAAGAGTTTGCACTCTGATTCTATCTTTACAGATATGTATCTGTTTCATTAATTCTCCCTCTCAACTCTTTCAATAAAAAAAGTTACTGGACGATTCACTGTGAAGCTAACTTTAATAAATTTAAAATCGCATATCGTCTGGTTTCCTGATGAAGTATGCGACTCGGTCGACAGGTACTCTATACTCGTGCATCCAACGATTGCCTTTGCGCAGTGATCCGTCGATGCCGTCCTGCCACAGACCCGCCGGCAGATAAACTGAAACAGATATATATTTATTAAGCATCTGTAATTCGAGTAGAGCAGAAGAGTCGGTTTTTATCATTGTCCCCTTTTTCGCCATTTGGAACTTCACAGCGCTCATTCTAATTTGCGCATAGGCAAAGATATTATACTATATTATATATTACTTTACCGTGAAAGCTCGAAATTTTGTATTATTGTAAAACTAATTGCGTCAACAGCCATGATGTATTCAAATTTACTTCGATGTAACTCTCAAAGTGGCCCAAACAAAACCGCGTCATCTCCCATAAGTTCAATAATGTCAAAACGGCTGCTTCATTATATCATTTACCGCATAACAGGATTTGTACTACAAAATTTGATTTATGGGACTAATCCTGCAAGGTCGTGCCCAAGCCCAAGAATTTGCATTCAAATTAGTGAATGTTCATCGGTAAAATACATATTCGTCATTAGTCGTTAACCCTACCATGACCTCGGTCCTACTGGCCAGAGGTACAACGGGAGGAGCGCTCACCTTCCCTGGTGGTGGTGTTGGGGTACAGGATGGGCGCGACGACGAGCTCGTCCCCGACACAGAACTCGTCCCGCACGAGCAGCGCCGCGTCCGCGCCCGCGCCCCCCGCGCCCCCCGCGCCCGCCGCGCCCGGCACCAGCCACAGCGGCCGCACCAGCGGCAGGCCCTCCTCCAGCGCGGACCGCTTGTACTTCAGCAGCAGCGGAGTCACCTGCACGCACGAGTAGGTACCTCGTTGTTATCGTTTTAATTCATTTTTAATTCCTTCTCCTCCCGGTATAGTATTATGACATCTGCAGATTCCTAGTGATATCGGATAATGTGAAGTCGACTCACCACTTTTTGTCGAAGCGAAGTCAAATTTTTGGCCATCTCCAGAACTCTCTCGTCGTTGTATTTGCTAGGCAGATGTGTGAACTTCATCACCGGTAAAAATGTGGCCATCTGCAACCATCGCATGTAGAGCTCCACCTCGGGCAGATCGATGCCGTTGTGGGCGGAGTCCGTGATGTTGATATCCGCTGAACCTTTCGAAGATGGCAAAAATTGTTCACTTCCCGGCCAATATATGTCGCCTCCTACCGCTCCTGGCATTATGAACGGATACCCGTTGATTCCGTACGTCAACATAGTCGGGATGACCCGCCTCATCGCCTCCCACGTAGACTCGAACGGAGGCAAGGATACGAACACCGGTGGGCTAGGCAAAGATACCGCCGAAGACACCCCGATCACTTTCAGTGTCTTTTCGAACGTTTTGATGAATGCAGTCTTGTATTGGTCGGGATTTATAAGTTTTTTCTCACACTGGTAGTAATGTGGCATATCGTAAGCTGTACCTAAATCAAAATAAAAAGAATCTATGTCATATTTATCTATCACAGCCTGCAGCTTATTCATTATCCATGGTACAGTTTTACTATTCGTTATATCTAGCACACCGGCACTGGCTAAAGATTTGAATCTCGTCAATGCTGGTATTCTCCTATCGCTATTTCTTTCACTTATCAATAATCTCTTTTGAACACATTCCCCGAAATTAGCACTTTCGGTACTTATAAAGGGCTGCACAGTAAATGCTACCTTGAATCCTCGTCTATGTAATTTATCAACGGTTTCGTTCAAAGTTTCAAATCTACTTGTATCAACAGCGAGATCACCGATTTCGTTCTGCCAGAACTCATTTATAAGAACATGACCTTGTTTTAGGAAACCTAAATATATAACATCTTCCGTATATTTAGATATTGTTTCAGCTTTCAATTCATGCTTAAACCTCGGGGCTATTTGCCAAACTGGTTCTGATATGAGAGATTCCAAGATATGCATGTCTATTGGTTTCAGACCGTCCCATAGAGGTGCACTTCGATGACTATGAATTGAAGAATGCAGTGATTTCATATCTGTAGAGATGCAAATATTATATTTCATTTCAGCATACTCTGTCAATCTATTGGCATAAGCAAAATCATCATATTTGGCTAGAAGACAGATTTCTTTATTCCTTGCATTAACCGAGATGTAGAGTGGTGTTTCTTCGTCGATGATAATGGCTGCTCCTTTAGAATTTATTAAGTACCGAGTGAGAACATTTCCCATCTGTGAGTTTTGTATATCACCAGTGATAAAGGGAGTATACTGAATAGTTCCAGTATCCAACGGCCACGTTAAGTTGATAGACTGTCCGCCACCGTACCAGTGAACTTTGGTATCACTCCAGTCGAAGCAATCGTTAGGAAAAATACCTAAAAAAAAATGAAATAGTATCATAATTCTAACCAATGATTTTTTTAAAGTTACTAATTTAATACATTAATATCAGTCAACTAAAATAAATTTGTCAAACATCATATTAGATCTCAAAGTTGAAAAATATATCAAGGTTGTCGAAAATTTTGCCAAAGAATCGTAACACTTTCTAGAATGTCCCGTAGGAAAACTGATAGAATTACACATCTTTCTACACTTTCTCTATGTCACTCTATGTTTTGCTAAGTTAGCGGTGAACGCAGAGGTTGTAGCATTACTAATTTCATTGCTTGTAGCAATCAAGATCACATACTACTTACTTTAAAAATAAATATGTAATATTTTTACAAAACTTTTATTTATCCTTTTACACCCACTATTTATATAAGACTTACTATTACTGAGAGCCTTCCAATGGATATTAAAACAAGTGGTGTTATCGACGCCTGGATCACGCGGAAGACTTTTGAGATAAAAGCGCAAGGAATGTAACCACTCCAGACAAATCGAGCCGTCATGGTGTTGATGTTCTGGCAAGCAAGGATACACTTCACTTTTGCCTTGGTGGCTCACCGCTGAAAATAACATACGAGTCAGATTCTATAGCGTTTCCTGCTATAGAACAAGCCAATTATTTTATAAATAAATTCCAGACTAAATTTTGAACTAATAGATAATTCTTGCAGATATTGTCAATGCTTAACTATAATGCAGACTGGGATCACGAATATTTTATCATTTTTTTTCAACTATTTTACTTCTTTCTTCAGAAATACTATGCTAAGTTTTCCGTAAAAAAACATCCACGACATTAAAAAATTATATATAATTTACTGCTTGTGATATTATAGTAAATTGTAAAAAATTACTCTTTCAGTATGCAACTAACGTTTAGTCCAATGTTTGAAATAATTCTGTGTATTAATTAAATTACCTAATCTAGCTCGAAGTATCTCTACTTCATCGGCATTGAAAATCCTGATGAGTTTTTTTGGCTCGTTGAATTGAACATTATTAAAGTATGCCTTTGTCGCAGCCTGCTGGTGGTAGAGAACGTACGCGAATCCCACGAAGAATACAACCGCGAGGAACATCAGCCCCACGAACGCTCGCAGCTTGTAATCTGTTGGCTTCTTTCTGATTTTTTGAGGAATACTCTGAAATGAGATTAATGGTAATAATGTTATTTACGATACAGATAATGGAAAGACATTTATGTTTATAAAATATATCAGATTCTTGTCATAGTGTGAAAATTAAGAGAGGACATTGGAACGGGTTTAGTATTGTCTAGTACCTCACAGGGATATGAAAATCAGTGCACAATTTTCATTGATAATAAGTACCAAATTTGAACCATATTACCAAATATGACGGGTGCGTAGCGCAACAATTGTTCTATCGAACTTCTGTTTCACGTTTGTGTCGATTATAAAATAGTATAAGAAAAATAACTGACATAAATTGGTTGTCAAAAAATTAATTCAAAAAAGTTTTTTATGTGTGATTATTTTAAATGAGTGCAATTTAGGTGATGTATTGTTTCTGTTACTTTTTAGGTAGATATTACGTTACTGGATTGCATGCAGTGTTTACCTATAATTGTCTATGCAGTTATTAAGTTATAAGATGTTCTATTTTTGTACAATGTATATATATATATATATATATATATATATATATATATATATATATATATATATATATATATATATATATATAAGACATTGGTAAATAAATAAATAAAATAAAATAAAAAACCTTATGAGAAAAGGAATAGATTGAGCATAATTATTGGCATAGCTTCTATACTTTTATAGGTGTTTATTAATAATTTAAAACTTCATTTGATTCAACTATATTGGATTTTGAATATTATATTAATACGAAAATATCAAGAACATGAGTTTAGCTGGAGATGTTAAGACAGGAAGATTAATTATGAAAATACATGATAGATTAAAAGAAATACTTAAATATGATACGGCTTAATAAAGAATATGAAAATTTCATGACAAAAACAACGAACCCGAGATGCACATTAGTTTCAATGTCAAAACTTGATGATACCGTTTCAAAGTTGTTTTATTTACAATCTTACGCAGAAATATTGAAGAAAAGCGCTTATTGCGCCAATCTCGATACAACTAGGACGGGAATAAGCGGATAATAACATTAGAAACAAATAAAAGATCTCAAGAGTACCGTTCAAACCATATGGTACGAGTACTATGCAGATTCTCTTCGTGCGCATACCTGCAATTTTTCTCGCAGCAGACTGGCGAGGGAGTTGACTGATGTGACAGAGTTGCTGGGCGAGTAATCGTCGTCGTCCATACTGAACTCGGAACGTCCTAGCCGACGTGGCGTGCGCCGGGGCGAGCGAAGGGGACTTCTGTCGACAAATATACCAATGAGACTGCTGTCTTATTTAAATTTCTATTGTTTTTTCATCGTTTGTTTTATTTGGTTGTCTGATTTGAATTTTGATTCTGCTAATGTAATAATGGTGTTTAAATTGATCGCCTTTATCTAGCCGACTGTTGGAGCATAGGGCTCTCCTATTGGCTAGGAAACACTAGTTCAACACATGGACCGTTTGGGTGGTTAACGTCTACAGGTGCAATACAGATCAACGGCGCAACAGGCCTAAAAGCACGGAGGGCCTCTATATAATACTATGATCACCCATTCAATGACAGAGCATTATGAAAAATGCTAACCCATATCGTACACCGAACACATAACCTACTCCCAAGAACAGAGAAAAAGTTTTCTGTGACCTACTCTCCATTCAAATTCTTTACATCTACTTTTTTTTTGCTGGCGACCTTGTACCATGACATTAAAATTATATCAAATTAAGTTTATGGTGCCTTAGGTACGTTAACGTTAGCAGAATTGACTCTATAATAACAAACAAATTAGTTCTGCTTATTTTGAATACTGCTTTAAGCAAAAAAAATTAGGCCGATTACAGTACAAGTAAAAAATCTGGCAAATCTTATTTATATACAAACATATTATCTTTAGCTTTGACAGAAGTGATGCAACACTTTTGATAATGACCCGTTTCCTCCACTAAGCTAATAATTATATTTTTATAACACTATTTCTTTGCCTACACCAAATTTCAACATAAACAAAAAACAGTTATTGAATATAACATATTATTTTAAAATATTATAATAAAATACTTTTATTTTAAACCCAATAGGAAGGACTGGTTTACAAATAATGTAACAAAATATAAAAACTAAGTAAAAAAAATTTTTAAGACAGGCATTTATTCATTATCTCACTTATTTACGTTTCAGTAAAAAAACATTTTGAAGCAAATATAATCCTTAACTTTTTTTTAACTTTTAAATATAAATGAAAATGAAAATTTGAAATGAAATGAAATGAAAATTTATTTATTTTATACACTTTTTTCAGTACAAAATGTGAACTGCTCTCATATAAGGTTACCCTGTGTTACTTAACTTTTTCTCACATGTCCCAAACTCTGCGATAAAGTCTGCTCTCCTCTCCGAGTTGGTCTGCGTGAGCGACATTACTCTATTGTGGCTAACAGACTATATCGAATGCATTGTATCATTTTCACGGCAATTTTTTCGCCTACCGAGTAAATGTTCACTTTGCATGTCACAAGTCCCACAAATTACCAGTTACTGGAAACTGTGGTCATGCTTTATTCGTAAGCCTTCTGCTATGGTGATAAAACTTAAAGCAGCTCAGCAGATCGCAAACTCCGTGGTAACTAATGAGGAAACGCGCCAAGTGGTATAAGTGCATATCACACAAATCTTTAGCTAAATAGACTTGAACTTGACCACTTGTATAGAACTGTATTTTGAAGCTGCGTGGGATATATTTTAATAATACCAACACGTTACAAAAGGAAATATATATTTTGCCTGGTAATTTTTTGAAAAGTTAGATCAGAGCTATATTTCTTTGGATGCCATAGTACCACGACGACGATACTAACTAGCACGCGCAGCAGGTCTTCACCCAAATGTAACTTTTCTTGGGTGCGAACACACGATATCTCACTCTTGACCCGAGAAAAGTGACGTTGGTTGTAATTGTAGAAGTGACAAGGCGTTTCTCGAATTTTTCATGCTAGGCGTGCAGAGTTGCGACCCCGCCTAACTCACAAGTTGTAACTCCAGCTATAGAATACGACATCTTAGCGATATTATGATGGTGTTTCGTTTTACTACTTTGGCATGTCTAGTGGTGATAAATTACTGAGTTGGTAACGCTTCTGTCAAATCCATAATAATATTTTTTTATCATTATTCGTTCATAGTTATTAAAGTATAAATTATAGGAAAACGAAATTAAATATGGCAATCACATCGCTAAGATGTTGTATTCTACGGCTAGTGGCATGGCTAGAGAGAGTTGATTAGTGTAACTCTCTCTGGCCTAACTCTCTAGCCATGGCGCTAGTAGTAGTTGAAGTAGTTATGACGAATACAAATTGGCATCGACAAACTTCTATGTACACTCTTCTTAAAACGACAGTAGCATAAGGTAATTTAAAAAAATTAACAGACGCACTTCAACTATTTTATGTACGTTCCTTAAAATTTGTTCCCAAAAATGCCAAAGTATTATGATAGAAAAAAGAAATTATCTAAAAGGGTTACAATATTATAGTAAAGAAGCTGGATTTCTATTGTTTCACAACTATTTTTATTTTTAGTAATAGTCTATTGAAGAACTCATCTCAATAAATAGCAACTTGACCGTATTCTAATGCTGCAAGTTAGCTTCAGATATTGTTTGTAGCGCTACAGTCTAAACTATCGTAAGTTAATTTAATAATTAAATCTATTTGCATCGTTATTAAATTCGATAATTAGCATGCCGATTCAATGAATTGATATTCCCGTAACTTTAATATGAAATAATGAGATTTTTGTTTCTTTTGAAATATTAACAACATTTTAAGCTACAGAACAGAGGGATAGAAAAAAAACGATAAACAGTTTTCATCGAAATCATATGAAAAGTCACGAACTGCAGTACAGTGCTGTAATAAAGTCAGCGTTACACTCGACGCAGCGCTGTCACAGAATAGAGGTTTAATCAAATAAAACCTATTTCAAAAGACAACTTTCATGAAGGTTCGTCGTGGTACAATGTGAAACTATGTTTCATATTTCCATGGGCTCTTTTGACCGCAGATTGTGTAGATATCTCGGAAATTTTGATAATTAATTAAATCATTTGATTAGAGATATATATTTTGAGTGATCCGTGTTTTGGAAAGAAAATTACGAACAGGCCCAACCGCTTTGAATTAGCAAAACCCTTTCACCGATAATGCAAAAAAATTGTATATAGTTTCGCCGTTCATTTAAAGATTTTGTATTCCATAGAATGAAAAGTTAAATATATTTATAGAATATAGGACAGGCGAGAGACGTGGGAAATTATGATATTTTTAGCAATAGTTGCCCTGTTTTAATATCTACCACTTTACTAACAAACAAGTAAATTTAAATTACTAATTAAAAGATACCTTCACGTAATCTTAAGACTCAATAATTCTTATTACTGCAACATAATAAAAACAAACCTGGTGATTTGACCCCAAGGGCACAACACCAGCTAGGTTTATTATGTTTAAAACAGCTTCGAACTCATTATAGAGCTACAACTAAATAAAATCTTTATTGCCTTTTGAAGTAGATTTTATTTCACTGAACATCTATGATCTCTGCAGTGTTACAATATTATTACATATCACGTTTTCAAAGCCTGTGTTAAGAGTGAAAAAGTCAATCAACACCTCAAATAATGGCAGACCGCCAATCTGTCATCTAAATAGAGGACAATCTATTTCTTTTCGAATGTTACGGTTCTTTCGGGATGAAATAGTATTTTACACATTCAATACTTTCTTTCGCTTCCATAAACTTTACTACGAGATCGAAGCGAAATGCAGATAAAACACTTGTGTAACCGCGTCATAAAAGTCTATTAAAAGGCAAATTTAAAACAGTTTTATTATAAAAATTATTCCACAGTACTTACATTATAATATCACTAATAGATTAAAACAAAGATTTTTCTAAAGAATTTCTATATCCAACACTTTTTTCAGACAACGAAAACTATAATTTATGAAGATACACTACAATCAATCAAAGTTTTGTGAACGAGTTGTATCACAAGATTTGTTTTCTATTTCAAAATCAATAAATCTTTGAGAAAACTATTTGATGTCAAAGTAATAAGAAAACGCGTGCGATCCCTTATGAACGGTAGAACACTGACTCACAATGTGCCATGCGCACACGCAACTGACTATTACACATGCGCGTGTTATATGTGCGATTTTATGAAAAACAAAATGTATAAAGTATACAACTGAAATAACTAAAGTATTGGAAATTTCTTTAAAACGATTAGATAATAATTTTATGATTGAGTTATTAATTAATGCATTTGTATTAAAAGTCAAATGATAAACCCTATTCAGGTTATTATCAAAAATGAGTATTTTATTATACAATAAGGATAATGAATATAAAAAAGGTTTGAAATTATTGATAAATATGAACTTTATGTTGTTGGCCAATTAATTTTTACTTACTTGTTTAGAACCTATTTAAGCGCCTAACTATTTAAGCGCTTAACTAGATAACTTTACTTATAAATATCCATATAAAAATTTACTGTGTTGGAATCAGAATTCAATATTGCAACTTAATATGTAGAAATAACATAATTTGTAGAGTTCCGCTCAATCTAGTACATACGACGGAAAAATCCCAAAACCAAACAGCAACCTATTATTTTATCATATTGGTTTCTTGATTAATAATATGATTTCTTGGAGTTGAGAAACGAACTGGCAAAACCCGTCGTATGACTTTTGCAATATTGGGACATAAAGTAGATTGAGTTCACCTCTAAGAAATAAGAGTATAGTAACTCTTTAAATGCTAAAATTAATAAATAAGTCTCATGCGTAGTTTCAATGTGACTATCTAATAGGTAAAGGCAAATATCACAAAATTCGCTATTTGCATTTTACCGCGCTCATATTAACGTCGAATGAGTTATTTGATATTATATAAATAATTGATATTCAATAGAAATATGAAAAATATAAGACTTACTTATCTACTAATATCATAACACTAGCTATACTAATATTATAAAGAAGAAAAATTTTATTGAATGTTTGCTTGCACTGAATGAATTCCGAAACTACTGGGCCGATTTTAAAACATCTTTCATCTACAAGAAGCTACTTTATATGCAGAGGACATGGTCTATATCTTTCGCGGGCGAAGTCACAGGAAAACAGCTAGCTTTCTTCATATTTTCTAATATTACTCTCCTTTTTTGTAAGCTAATATAATCTATATTTTTTTATATCCAACCCATTGTCCGCCTGGTGCACCTCAAATGGAATAAATAAACACAATAAATTTAAATATATATATGTATTTGGTACCGGAACAATAGAGATGTATATTAAATTTATTTTTGGATTTGTATCTTAACGTAAAATTATTGTCTTATGAAAAGTAACAA